GAAAACATTAAAAATGACTAAGACGAACTAATTGCTTAAAATAAAGACTCTTGCCAAAATATACAATTGTAAAGACGAGCAACTACGGAACCCTCCACTGCTCGTGGCACGACACGCACTTGGCCGGTTTTTTTTTTTTTTTTATTTATTGTGATTGTGGTGTGAAAGTGTCAACATCGAAATTTATCAGCTGTGAATTTTATTTACTTTAAAAATAGTTAAATCTTTTATGTGTAATAACTAACCTCATCAGTGCCTAGGTTGAGTTCTCCCACTGCTTCACACACATAATCCAAATCAAAAAAACATGGGTTCTACTACCGATACGCTCTTCAAAAGCTTGAACGAATTAACCACCATGTTCAATGACCGAATGACGGAATTCGAAAGAAATCTGCAACATCCCAGCACTAAAGAACCTAACTCCACTGTGAAAACACTTGCAGCAGATTTTTCTTCATTCAAGGGCTTTGTATGGAAGTCGCTCGGTATGCTCAAGTCTCAAGTTCAACTTCTGGCACTAAGTGTGGACCGACTGGACACAATTTTTCGTCGTAAGACACTGTTATTTCATGGATTGAAAGAGGAAAAAGATGAAAAATTACTTGGAAGAACACTTGCACTGTTGAATGACCAAATGAAGTTGAGTGATATTGGTCCAGAGTCAATCGAATCCTGCCATAGGCTTGGCATAAATAAAAAGGACACCACTCGACCAGTCTTAGTCCGATTTTTCAGCATGAAACCTCGTATGTTAGTGTGGACTAAGAAAACTAAGCTAAAGGGCTCTGATATTACGGTCAGTGAGTTTCTAACAAAGTCAAGACAGGAACTTTTTGTGGCAGCTCGCAAGCATTTTGGCACGAAGAAATGTTGGACATCGGAAGGCACCATCTTCGTTCTCCCATCGGATGGTATTCGAAGGAAGATTTACTCCCACTCAGAGCTGCAGCAGGTTATCACTCAGAATCAGAACTGCAAACAACCAACTCCAGAAGCAGAGCAGAAGCTGAGTAATATTTCTTGTTATAGTCTTGTATTTTTTCTAATGTCAAATCGTAATGGACCAGTAGTAGTTCCTTTGGTATGATCATTTTTGTAAATCATTTATAAAATAATCACGAAATGCTAATGCTCTTCAGTTAATTAATTGTTTACGGGTACATACATATTAAAATTTTATTTATCAAAACAAAGTGTAGTGAGCTGTCAGTCTTGACATTTGTCAAATTGTTCTTTTTTTATAGCATTGACTCTCTGTTGTTTTGGTAATGTATTAGGTTTCGTTCTACAACTCAACTGGTTGTTATCAATTTGTTCATGTTTTTTGTAAGTAATTACTTGCGACCGTCTTTGATTTTTATAAATCCATGTTTAGTTCACAATTAAGTACTTAGTTCCAATCACTGGTTTCGGACTCATCCGTTCAACTTAGGCACGTGGTGGAGTTTTTTATTTTAGATTTATTTTTTAATTTTAGAATTGTAATTTTATATATATACTTATATTTTATATATATATTTATATTATATTATTTTATAGAAAACAATGATACTTAATGATACATTTTTTTCATGTTCGTCTGCCGAGTATGGTAGTGCTGAAAGTAATGATTCATTTGTCTCTGATTCTGAACCTTTGGAACTTAAACTGTCAGAGATGGTTGGTAAATCCTCGAAGTGTTTTACTGTAGTGCATATCAACGCGCAAAGCATTCTAGCCCATCACACAGACCTTCTCACAGCTTTCAACAACGGCGTAGTCGACTGCATTCTTGTTTCTGAAACTTGGTTGAAACCCAGTCTATGTATATTTTTGGAAATCACGCTTCACCACAAGAAGATAGATACTTCTTGGAGCTCTATATTGGCCTAGTGATAAAATTGATTATTTTAAAAATCTTGAAAGTGTCCTTTCTGACATAATCGTTACATATGACCACATTATTCTAATGGGGGACTTTAACACCCGTCTCGTTAAAAATGACTCCAGAGCACATAAGCTTGTTAATATTCTTTCTTCTCTCAATCTTCATATACTTCCCTCTTCTCCCACGCACTTTCTTCCAAATTGCAGATGCAATAGATTGGTCTCCGGTACTTAACTCGAATAATATTGACGATATGGTTGAATACTTCACCACTATGCTTTTAAAAGTATTTGACATTCAAGCACCAGCACGTCCAGTAAAAATTAAACACTTGCCTGCTCCTTGGCTCACACTCGCAATCAGGAAGGTGATGGGTAAACGCGACAAAGCCAAAAGTTGTCTAAAAAAATCACCTACCTCTGATAACCTCCAGGCATATAAGAAACTGGGGAAACTTTGCAACAGGATGTGCTGGGACGCCAAACGTAAATATGTGCACTCACAGGTCGAAAAGTTAGACCAAAAACACATCTAGAGTTTTTTGAGGTCCTTGGGTGTGGGAAGGACTGTCGACTCTAATTCAGTACCTGTGGATATCAACTCTCTTAATACGCACTTCTCAACCCCTCCTCTCTGTCTGAACTCATCATCTAAAGCAGACACTCTTTCTTCTCTGACTAGACCCAGTACCCATAACTTTCCAGCTTTTTCTTTTAACACAGTTTCTGAGGCAGACGTTGGGAAGAATGTCCGGTCTATCTCTACTAAAGCCATCGGCAGTGATGGTCTTAGCCTTGACATGCTGCTTCCTGTACTGGATGACATTGTGCCTAATTACATTTATTATGAATTTCTCACTTCAGCACAATGTTTTCCCACATCTTGGAAGAAAGCCAATGTCATACCCATTCCCAAGGTTTCAAATCCATCTTCTCTGTCTCAGTATCGTCCCATCTCTATACTTCCAATCCTATCCAAAGTCCTTGAGTCCATTGTTCATAATCAGATTTATTCCTTTGTCTCATCTAATTCTTTACTTTGTCCCCAGCAATCTGGCTTCCGTCCTTCACATAGCACTGTCGGAGCACTGCTTGATGTCACTGAGGACATTCGACATGCAATGGATAATACCAAGCTTACAGCTATAATTTTGCTTGACTTCAGCAGTGCTTTCAAGTGTGTCGACTTTGACCTTCTTTTGGGCACTCTTCAGTCTGCTAATGTTTCTCCTTCAGTTTTAGAATGGTTTCGGAGTTACCTTTTTGACCGTTTCCAACGAGTGGTCTATAATGACTCGTGCTCTGACTGGGTGCGTGTATTGGCAGGTGTACCGCAAGGTGGAGTTCTCTCTCCTTTACTCTTCTCCATCTTCATTAATAAGATCGCTTCTGTGATCTCTTCTCCTTTTCACTTGTATGCTGATGATCTTCAGATCTACCGACACTTTCCTACCGGTGAAGTTTGCGATGCTATTGCCTTGTTAAATCGTGATCTGGTCTCCATTTTAAGCTGGGCAACTTCGTTTGGTCTGGCAATAAATCCAAACACATGTCAGGCTATGATTGTGGGTAACAGCCGGCTCAGGAGTAGACTGGATTGGAATATTGTTCCTCCACTCCTCTACAACAATATTCCAATACCATACACTGACAAAGTTAAAAACCTTGGTTTGATAATGGACTGTAACATGTCATGGTCCCCGCATATTGGTGAAGTTAGTAAGCGTACACATTACTCTTTCCACTCTCTCAAGCGACTTCAATATTTTTTACCATTTAAAACCAAAATTATGTTAGCGCAACCACTCCTTCTTCCAATTCTCGACTACGCCGATGTCTGTTATCCTGATGCAAATGAAGAGCTACTCAATAAATTAGAACGACTCCAAAATTTAGCCATACGATTTATATTTGGTCTGCGGAAGTATGATCATGTGTCAACTTATCGCTCTCTACTTCAATGACTCCCTATTCGTCTTCGCCGAGATTTGCATATGCTTGTCTTCTTATTCAAGATTCTCAAAGATCCAAACTCCCCAGTATACCTGCGTTCCCGATTTAAGATTCTTCCCCCTCCTTCACGCTCTAGGCGACCCTGCATTACTAAGACGCTTGAGCTTCCTAAAAGTAATACCATCTCCTATTTGAATTCCTTTTCTTTTAGGGCTGCACAGCTGTGGAATAAACTTCCGTCCAATATTCAGGAATGTCCGACCATCTTCTCGTTTAAGTCTAAAGTTAAAGATCATTTTCTCAAACAGAAATCTCAAACTTAATGAATCATTCTCACGAAGTATCTTGTTTCTTATTAGTATTTATTTATCAGGTTTATATGTATGTTATGTATATTTGGATAGGTATTGTATTTATCTATGTATATTTATGCAAAGTTTATTTATGTAGGTATATGTATCTATATATGTAATGTGTATCGTATATATATATAACTATTATTTATTAAGTCTATTTCCTATAACAGCAGTAATAAATTATTTTTAGTTTAATTTTTATTGCACTTTCTGTTTCCCGCTAAGTTGTGAATCTCCGATACCACCTAGGTTGGCTGGAAGAGATCTCTTTTAGAGATAAGCCCACCTTTGCTTACTATGTATTTTACTATATGTTTTAACTATATGATACAATAAAGAGTATAATTGTCATTTCCTTCAAGAGATATAGTCCTGAGATAGACAGAAGAAACGTCTCTTTGAGTTGATCTTTGCTATGTTATTCTAATTAAGCCTTGCGATCATGGAATTAACGAAACATTAATAATAATAATGTTTATTTCAAATCAACATCAATAGAAATGTTAATAACAATCAAACCTTAAAAACTAAGAAATCATCAGAATGAATATTCCTTTGAATCAACCATCTGACACCACCTTCACCCGAATCCCCTAACAAGTGAACACTCTATACAATGGGTTCCTTTTTACTTTTATACTATTTTGCATTTACGCCTTTAATCATGACTGAAACTGCCTTAATATAAATTGGATAACCACACATGAAAGAACCTATTTCTATAATCAGTTTATTCTAAGTTTAGAAAAATAATCATAATAATTTAAAGCTACTATCTATTTAAAATATCCAGAACGCTCAGATAACATTCATAATCTGTTAAGGCAATGCTGTTTCAGTATAAAAGCTCGGAGCGCAGGCGTCGAGCGACCAGAGCGACGCGATGAGTCTTCAAGTTGTAGTGTTGTTGGCGGCGGTGGCGTGCGCTCGCGCGGCGTCGGTGGGCGCGGGCGGGCACGAGCCCATCATGCTCGACTACCACGACGCCTGGGGCGTGCCTGAAGCCACGCGCATTCGACAGGCTGAGCAGGCTTTCGACTTCGACGGAAGTCGCATCTTCGGAGGGTCCGCTGCTAGTGTTGGAGCGCATCCTCATCTGGTCAGTATCGGAAGACGATTCCAAATAAAATATGAGACACCATGTCATAGAGCAGGATAATAATGACTCTTTTGTCCAATAATCTCTAAAGATCAATCCTTTTATTGTAAGCTAGGGTTAACGACAGTGGGTGCGCCCGTCGCGTCTGGAGTAGTAACCTCCACCTTATAACAGATCAAAGTGAAATAACACTACGTTTTGGGGGTGTTGTGTTTTTGTTTGTAGGTAAGAATTAACAGCTCTAAACGGTCGGGGATGAGGCCAAAATAGGCAATGTAAAAATGATACTTTATTATCGTAAGCGTTTATAGGTTGTGGTGGCCGCTTACCATCAGGCCAAATGCTTATTTACAATTTGTCATAAAATGAAATCAATCGGCATCGCCAATTTTTTTATTCTTTCTTTCTTAATGGAACGGCTAGCCCTTTACCTAACTCAGCTAATTATCCTTATTTCACATAGTCAAGAAATCGCATTTTATAGCTTTTGATTTCAGAGTACCTGTTGGTTGAATTCTATGTTCATTGGAACGTTTTCAAAATTTGGTTTTTAGGATGCTCATCAGTGTATTATTTTATTTCTGTGTATCTCAGGGTGGTCTAATCGTGGTCCTGCCGGACAACCGCCAGTCTGTCTGCGGTTCATCTCTCCTGACGAACACGCGCTCGGTGACGGCGGCGCACTGCTGGATCGTGCGCGGGCAGACGGCGCGCTCCCTGACCATCGTGTTTGGCTCCAACCGCCTGTTCAGTGGCGGCGTACGTCTCACCACTACCAGCGTCACCACGCACGCCAACTACAACCCCAACAACTTGAACAACGACGTCGGCATTGTCAACCACGGATTCGTCTCCTTCACCAGTTAGTAACTTCACAATATTGACGATATTTATTATACGAGCGTCAGGAGGAACTCCTCCAAACGAGTTATAACGAAAGAGAGACGATTCGATAGAAAAGTTCATAGTTTGACTATTTATTGGTTGTTTTTTATCTTTTTCTAGAGAATTCCCAATTTCATGCGAGTGTCTATGGTAGAAAGTAGAAACTTAAATTCCGCAGTATCTAGTATACAAACGTCAGGATGAACACCTCCAAGCGTCCCTAAAGCCATAGGGAGCCACGTGAGAGATATTTCTGAATCGAACCTAGAGATTTGATCAGTTTGAATCGGGAAAAAATATTTATGTAAATTTGAAAAAATCTGAGCTTTATTTAATTATATTTTAATTAGTCTGTTTTAAATAGTTTAAACTCTTCTTTTATCTGAAGATATTCCTGATGTGATGACAAGACAGGCTAGGCACTTCACGTTATTTGATTAAAATGAAATTGATAAAACTGTACACGCTGTTTGTCATACAATACCTGCTACATGTTATTTTATTACAGATACTGTGAACCGTGTTTTGTTGCCTTCTGGCTCTAATACCTTCGCTAATACGTGGGGCGTTGCAGCAGGATACGGATCAACTGGCCACAGTGAGTACCTACCTAAGTATATCTACTTATCAACCATCATCTTAATTCTCATTTGGAAACATTACCTACTTAGTTTCTTCTGTTTTGTCTTCAGGCTTAAAACTGGTAAATAGAAATAGAATATTATTAGTTTATCTTTGTCACAAACCTATAAAAAGGATTTTTTAGTAAAAAAATACTCATAAATGCGCATTTGTTATTACTGTTAATTTAACATAACATTTAAATCATATGGTATTAAATCTTTATCAATCCAGACTAATCCATCATTTGATTCGTTATAATTTGATTATTTTAAAGATATGATAAGCGAATAAAAAACAGAAAAGATTACTGGCCCATTTTTAATAATCTGTTTTGATTATTTCTGATGTAAACATTAATTATTAATATTTACTGAATTGAATTCATAATAATATACCTACCGGATGTTATCTTATAACAAATAAGTATATGTAAACTATAATTAATATTTAAAGATTAAAGAATTATTAAAGTGATTCATCAAATTCATGAGAAAATAACAAAATAATCATAAAATATCAGCAGATCAAACCTTGAGAAAAGATCCTGATACCACAATCTTTGCTTGCAAAACTCCATGGGTTAGTTTTTTTTTGTAATTCAGAAAGCACACAGACGTCATTACCACTCACCAATTCGCTCTTGGATCATCCATGCTGACGGGTTATGCCACTGAAATAAATTATAGGAAACTAATACACGGGTTGATGTAAGATGTCTCTAATTTATTTCCATCCACAGATGTACCCATCAATAATAACCAGGGTAAGAACCACGCCAACTTGCTGATAATTTCGAACGCGGAGTGTATGACGACGTTCGGTCCCACGATCATCTCGTCGACGCTGTGCGCGCGCGGCCAGAACAGCGCCAGCATTTGCCCCGGCGACTCAGGCGGCCCGCTCACCATCGGCAGCGGGAACAACCGCCAGCTCGTTGGCATCTCCTCCTTCGTCTCGGCGCGCGGCTGCCACCTCGGCATGCCTGGCGGCTTCGCTCGCGTCACCTCCTTCCGCTCCTGGATCGATGCCAGGATATAAACCGATTCTAAGCTCTGAGGAGTGAGCACGAAAAACTAACGAAGTATTGGTGTCGCTATCGTCAAAGTTTTTAAGAAAGAACTAGTTTTTTTTACGTCCTGTAAGGGCGCCGCCTAGTTTCCATAGAAATGTTGACGATATGAGGTGATAAAAATAATTTCTCGCTAGTTTTTGTTCTCACCCCTCTGAAATGGAAAAATGAAATGGCTTTCTCATTTACGGGGTTTTATATATAAGAAATGTGATTAATGAGAACAATCCAATAGGTGTGTCTATTGCTTGTAACATAAAATATGAAGACTAATCGTATGGACTATCGTATAAAATATCGTGAAGACATTTAAGTGTAGTGTAGTGTAGTGTACGGTTCTGAGTGCTGTATTGTAACAAATTAAGATTTTTATTTAACTAACAGTATAGAAATAATAAAGTGGGTCGCAAAAACATAATTATGTTGTCTTAATCTTTCAGAAATTCCTTCGATAAATTGTAAGCACAGGACTTACATTTAATAGAGTTCAAATATTAAAAGAAGATAGCTTGTATTTTGTATTTTAAGCCTTTAACTGACAGATTTATAAATCAAAAGAAAATTTTACTATAAAAATCCATCTGTGTTTTTTTAGGGTTCCGTTGACACGCCTTTCCTTTTCCCTTTCCTTTTCCTTGTCAGGACAAGGACCCGTTATAGTTTCGTCGTGTCCGTCTGTCTGTCCGTCCCCGATTTTGCTTGGAGTCTGTAAGCACTATGAAGGTGTCATTTTGTGGATTTTGTAAGTATATCAATCATGCCGATAAAAAGGTAGAATGATATTTTGTCAAAAAATTTTAACGTGGCTCCCCTACACGTAAGCTTGGGATGATTTTATTTTTTCATCGTCTACCCCGTTCTCTGGGGGAATCATTGAATAAGTTCTTTAAAATTACTTTGGAGTTCCTTAGACTGTTTATCGATTTTGGCATCCGTTTGTGAAATATTTAACTTTAATGTGCTAATTTTGTTTCGTATAGCCCCCTTCCCCCTCTAAAAGCTAAACTATTGGCTTGAAAAACCTGGAATAGTGTTTCAACTTATGTATTAGAAAATTTCTGATCTAACGAAATTTCCTTAGAAGAAAACATTAAAAGTGACTTACGAGTAGAGGACCTAATATATTGTGGTGACGACGCAAGTACGGCACCCTACTCCGCGCGTGGCACGACACGCACATGGCTGGGTTTTTTTCCTCTATCATAATTTCTTTTTTTCGTTCAAATTAAATATTTTGTTACATACAACCTGTATGGGAAAATAACAACTGGTTATTTAATATATAGCTTATTATCTAAATAAGCTTCCTATATAATTACAGAATGTATACGTAATACAATGACAAAAAAATATTATTTAATTTAATGAATCGCTAGTACCCAGATAAACTCTACGAGGTTTTTGTGGTACAGCATTTTATGTATGAAGATAGGTTTACAAGCTGACACAGCGAACTTCGCGTTTCCTCCATAAAAAATAGGGGTTGGTGGTAATAAATAAATAAATATTTTCAACACTCACACCAATTAGCCTAGCCCCAAAGTAAGCACTGTAAGACTTGTGTTATGGGATGCTAGGGTAACGGATAGAATACTTAAACTGTACATAAATAAGTATATTTATATAGAAATACATATTAAACATCCATGACTGGAGTACAAATGCTCGTATTCATCACACAAACATCAGCCCCCACCAGGATTGGAATCCGGGACCTCTCGGGTCGGCGACACCATGAAACCCGGCGTACAAACCACTCGGCCACGGAGGTCGACTCCGTCGAGGTGGTAGAAGGGTGGAAATTTAGGGTTGTATGTATTTTTGTATGATGTATCATAAAAAAATAAAAACAAAAAAGAATTTCAAATAAAAATTAAGGTTGTGGTCCACCCTTCAATTACAACTTACACTTATCTACAGAAAAACAAAAAAACAAATTTAGGTAGTCACAATTATTTCACATTACAGTAATATGATGGACCCTTCAATTTTTTAACAAAATAAAATTATTAATTACCTAATGAAGCTAAGCAGGTTTGAGCATGTTTATGTTTCCTACTCGGCCGATCTGTTAAATGAGATGTTAACAAAAGTTTAATTACCTATTTGTTTCTTATAAGTAATTACCTACTTTAATTAGTCGAACTTTCGGTTACCAGTTTAACTGTAGAATTTGTGTAAAGTTTTACTGTTCTTTAACCGTTTTATGTGATAGGATGGCTCCGAAGAAAAAATCCGAAGTATGGTATTTTCATAATATTTTAACAACAATTGCAGAGTGTGCAAAAAAACATTTGTTAATTTTGGAAACACCATAAATTTATTAAAACATTTGAATAAAATGCATACTTTGTTTTATACAGCGATAATAGAAGAAAAAAACGAGCGAACCTTACAGTAGTCGCGTATGATGTGTAACATTTGAAACCTCACCTTATATTAGTAAAAAAAGAAATAAAACCTACTACAAAAGGAATAAGCCATTTGAACATTATGTTCTAAAATCAAATCAAATAGCGCGCGCTTTCGCGACTTCCTGTTACACATTTCCGGCCCATTTCACGAAATCACTCCCACAAATTGCGGGAAAGGGAGAGAAAAGATGTTAGACATCAAAAAGTAAGTAAAATGAAAACGAAAGCTTGGATGAGAGTTCTGATTTGGACTTGGGAGTCATAAGACTCATTAGCATCGTCATCTACAAGTCAATCAAATGACATTGACCAAGTACCTGCGAAAAGTCGTAAAAGACAATCCCACCAAAAACATTCTGTAAAAACCTAGTATATGTAGCACCTGGTTTTGTACCCTTGTGTACCCTTAAACGGCCAAGTCACACAACATTAACTATAATAATAAAGAAATCGCATTATGGAACTTGGCACGACTTCGTCTAGATTTCATTACTTTTTAGAGATAAACAAGCAGCTCCATCGAGACTTGGCTAGTTTTTTATAGAATATTTTTGGTGGGATTTCAATGCTTTTTTAGAAACGTGAAGAAATCAATATGTTCTTTTATAAGATTTTCTTATTTGACATTTTTTTAGGAGTAGTCTTTTTATTATAAAAAATCTTTCTTTTCTTTTTTTCCGGTTCTGATTCTTGAACAGTAGCAACAGTTTTTTGTATTGCCCATTTGCGTTCATTATACCGCACCGTCTAAAAGAATAATTTTAGACGGTTTATTTTCTGAAAGATTGGCGCGGTATTTACGCCTAAGTTGTATTCGGTGATCGCTGAAGCTTGAGCTTTTATACTCTTGAAGTCAACATCTATGAGGTGCACCCCATGAAGATTGGTTACTCATGAAAGCGCCACGTAGGCTTGGCCACAAGAGAATATGGAGGTGCCAATGTCCATGAGGGCATTTTTTAGACTTAGACCTTGGTATCACCGCCACTCTTAGTCAAATGCATTATATTTTGACCAACTTTTGAGCGAAATTAATATTTTATTCGATATTATGTAGATTAAGTAATTTGGGGTGAATCTGCTAGCTGGATGCAGAAGTTCCGCCACCGCCACCGGTGATTCCCACTCCAGGTCATCAGGCAGGTATGCAGTGATCCCCGTGATTCTCACCAGCTTCACCTCTAAGTCCAATGGGAGGAATTGCGCTAGTGCCAAGGAGGCAACAGTAGAGACGGTGCGGTAACCACGTATGGCCCGGAGGGCGAAACCTCGCTGCAGAGAGCCTAAAGTTTTCTTGACCTCTTTTTGGTCCGCGATGTGACCCCAAACACATGACGTGTATGTGATGGTCGGTACGATTACATATTTGTATATGGCCTCAATATTTTCTGGGTGCGCCCCCCGAGATGGTCTCGTGAACAGGGAGAGGCGGTTAAATAGTCTGAAAGCCTTATCAGTCACAAACTTCAGATGCTTTTTGAAGATGGGACGATGGTCGACAATGACCCCCCCATACTTAATTTCTGTCGAAAATGAGATATGCACACCCTTCATGTGAAGCCTGATATCTGCTGCTCTCTCTTTCTCTCTCTCTCTCTCTCTCTATGTTTTTTAAATCTATTACATTGATTATATATAATGTATTAATTGAGGTAGTTACTTGTATACTCCCTCCTTTTTTTCCATCGCCTATTGATTACATTTTTTTTTGTGTTAGTATCTATTCATTGTTATTCTTATGTTAATTATTATTATTATTAAACACCCTAATTATATATATATATATATATATATATATTTATGTATATCACTAATCATCTGCGATTTTTTTTTTAATTGATTAATTTATATATATCACTACTATTACTATTTACGTGTCCCTATTATAAACTATCTCTCTATAAAAAAATCGATTACATTGTATTAATCATATATATATATACTATTACTACTACTGTTACTTGCCGTACATGTCACTTATTTTTTCTAAAATATATTTAAAACACGCAGCGTTACAGATAGAGCAATAGAATGCAGTTTTATAGCAATCTACGTGATAAGACACGTATTCTAGATATTTCACTGGTATTCTGTTGATGAAAAATTTATCAGCACATTTTATGCAATATGTTAACTTTTGATCACTTTCACTGTTCAAGAGTGGCACATAAAAACTTACTTCGATTAAAGCCGGATCTTCTATGTAATTTCGTATCGTTTCGAAGAATGTAATAATGTTTTTGTTATTCGAATATTCGCGTATGTCGTCTCTGTACGCTTGCTGTTTTATCTTCCAATCGTCGTGTCTACAGTTGATGTCTTCGTTGATGGAATGCGAATTGGTCTTTTTCATTTTTTTATTTGCCGTAGAGTGCTGTGCAGCTTTTTCTTCTTTGTTTTTTCCACTGGACGTCGATGGTTGTGCTTGCGTTTTGTTTTCTTCCTTTTCTTTATGCGACATTGAAGTTTGTTTGGTTTCTATTTTTTCTTTCTTATTTTCGTTCAATCTTTCGTTGTCGTCTTTTTCTCCATCGATGTCTGTTTCTTCGTCTTCATCGATGTCGATCGTTTCAAAAATGTTTTCCGATTCAGAGGTATTCAAAGTGTCTAATATGTTTTCATAGGTTTTTACTTTCTTTATATTTTCAAAAATATCTTCCATGCTTTCTGCCTTGCTATTTTTCGTTTTCCATGATGATATTTTTTGTTGATTATTCATTTTTCTCAATAATAATATATACGTTCACTGTTGTGCGTGTTATGATGGTGTTGATAATGCGTTATTTCTGGATGCGATTCTCTTCGAAGACTGTGCTCTCTGCAGTCTTTGTTTATCCTTTTATATATTTAATGTTTTTTTATTTTGTTCAATTTTTTTTAAGTGACATTTGTCGTTTTTTAAATTCATGTTTGTTGTATGCTAATTTTTGATGTTTCTTTTTTTTTAACTTTTTGTTTCTTCATTTGTGTTCATAATTAATGTTGTTTTTGTATGT